TGTTGTGGAGAAGATCAAGCACGAGTCTCTCATGGCCATGACAGAGGAGGACATGATTGCGCAGGCGAAGCGAGCGAGCCTTCGCGACGCCTATCTTCACCGCCCGCCAGCCGCTGGTGTCGCCTCGCATGCGCTTCGAATGGACAAGAAGAAGAAGACAACGAAGAGCAAGAGAAGACAGCAGCACCACCACGAACACCAACCACCACACCAACAGCACCAACCACCACACCAACAGCACCAACCACCACACCAACAGCACCAACCACCACACCAACGCGAACAGCACCAACCACCACACCAACGCCAACAGCACCAACCACCACACCAACGCCAACAGCACCAACCACCCTATCACTCCCACCCGGCGTTCCTCGCCGCAGCATCGTCGTCAGCACCATCATCATCATCGTCATCATTGGCCGCACATCAGTCGTCATCATCAGCAGCGAAGCGGGGCGCTCGCATGGTGCCCGCACACGAGGCTGACCATGAAGACGACGATGATGATGGCCGCACTGGAGACCAACGTGCTGGCGATCATACTGTAACGGATGATGAGGACATGCTGCTGCAAATTGCACTCGCACAGTCCCTGCAAGAGAAGTGAAGCAGTGAATTCGCTTATGTGTGTGTGTCTGTGTGTGTCTGTGTGTGTCTGTGTGTGTCTGTGTGTCTATGTGACGTGTGTGTGTGTGGTGTTGAATTTGACTGAAAATAATGTAACATAATTGCTACTCGTGTAAGGTTTGCATCTTTGATGTGATGTGACATGACAGCATTCAGCCCTGCCGTTGCTGCTATTGCCCCCTCCCCCCTCGTACCGCCCGCTGTTTATAACACCTCGCGCGCCCGTTCGTATATCTCGCCTTGTGCACCCTTGCCCCCCCCCCCAATTATTGTCCGTCTGTGTCTCTCATCCCATAAATTCGACAGCATGATGTGGCATGTTCGGGTGGTTGTCTGGGCACGGCGGCGTGGAAAGTACAGCAACAGCGGTGTGGCTTGCCTGTGTTGGCGGCTCATGCATTGTGTGTCTGTCGACATGGTTCCTTCAACGATTGCGCACGTTGTTTAATTGACATGTGAAGCACAGCGTGTGTCACACCGCAGCGGCGGACCCGCCAAGCTCGCTTTTCAAGCCTTCAATCCTACAATACAGCCAAACTGGAGTCGAACACACGAACAAAACACAGACTACACCTGACATGCATAATGCAGACATAACAAAGGATGCCATCACAAACACAAGCGACCAACACCCAATTCTTTCACAGCCACATGACTGCTGTTGGTTGACCTCTTTGCGCACACCTCACCTTCTTCCCCTGCTGATCAAACTCCCTCAAACTCACACACACACACACATTGCCGCATTCACACTATCACATAAACAATAACACACACATATACACACCATCACACGCCACTACACACACACACACACACACACACACACACACACACACGTACGCTGTGTGTTGAGATGCCACACATCACAGCTACGATGGCAAGAGCAGGATGCATCTGTGTGACGGCCATGTTTCACGCGCTGTCCCCGTCCTGGTAAACGCCCAGCTGGGCAAGGATGCTCTCCATACGCGGCAGGTGCAGTGGCGTGGCTTCCTGCGTGTGTGCACAGAACCCGTCTGTGGTTGGCGACACAATCACTTCGCGCACACGCGCGCCGCCATCACGGCTACCGTCGCTGTCGCCTTGCCAGAAGATGAGGTAATAGGGGGAGGTAAGCAGCGAGGCGCGCGCACCAGTGATGGAGAAAAAGCCCCCACGTTCATTGCCAAACTCGTCGACAGTGTCATTGGCGTCGTTGCTGTCGTCACTTGTGGCGGCATGGCTCGCACCGCGCCCGCTGCCCACTGCAATCCCTCCCTCACCTCCCGGCCGCCGAAGCAGCAGCGGCGCAGCAGGCGACGGCCACGGCTTGGACGACAGTGATGACGGCGATGACGATGGTGGTGCTGAGGGAGAGAGCGAGCACGAGGGACGGGCGTTGTTGGCGCCAGCGCTAGTGTCATCGCGGGCCAGCACGCCGTGGAGGTATGATGGCGCTGGCTCGTCATCCGGCCGCGCAGGAAACACCACGAACCTTCGCTCCGGGTTGGCAGCAAAGTATGCCTGGGCAAAGTCACGATATGCCGCTAGCAACGGCCCTTCCGCCAGCCACGCTGGAGGGTTGCTGGTGGAGTCGGGGGCATTGCTCACGTTTGTACCCGCTTCCTCAGTTGAACCTGCCTCAGTTGATGCGTCGCCATTCACCTCACCTTCCTTTGTTGTTGGTGTTGTCGTGGATTCGCGCTGCTGTTGCAACTGCTGGTGCGTGTGGAGTGCCGCTGTGGGCGCTGCTGATGTGTGTACGGCAACGGCACTTTGCAGCGCAAGCAGCTGCGGATAGTGTGCCAGGCGCGTGCATGTCCTTGCGAGTGCAGCAAAGCGGGAGACGGTTGGCGGGGACACGAGGCCGGCGAGACGGGTAAACGCAGCAGACACGGCTGACGATACCACAGCAGTGCTGCCGGAGCGCTCGTACATCTCCACAGCGCGGGTGGCGATGGAATCCACATCCGCCTGGCAACACCAACACGCGCACGCGTGGGCATGTGTGTGTGTGTTGGGGGGGGGGGTGTTTGCATGTGTGTGTGTGAGGGGGGGGGGAGGTGTTGATACATGTGTGTCCACATGAGCATCGTGTGAACAACGGGCAATGCCAGGCTGATTGCGCTGGATCACAGCAAAGCGTGTGCACACAATTGGCCATTTCCTCTCTCCCTCCACCATTACACCACCACGCCTCTCCTTCAATACCAAAAGTGCAAGTGCGCCAGCGTCACCAACGTACGGGAAGGAGAGCGTCGTTTGCCGCGGTGTCAAGGGCCGGCGCAAGCAGGAGGTCTGATTTGAAATGCGCGGCAAGGTCCAAGATGGCGTCACACAGCACCGCCACCTCCCGTGCGGTTGCGGCCTTTGGCGGGGCGAAGAACGCCTGCACCAGCTCCTGCGTCGTTGCCAGGCCGTCAAGCACAAACTCGGGCGAGTACGACCTGTGCAGCGGCGCAAATCATGAAGTTGAGCGACGAGGGGGGGGGGGTGGCAGGGGAGAAGAAGCAGTTGCAGGTCGGTGCCCAGAGGAAAACGGGAGGCGGAAGGAGATGAAAGCGCGGGCGGGGGGGGGGGCGGTGTCAGGCAATATCACGTGCACTCATGAATACTTGCACAATTTCACAGGTTCGGTTGTCATAGACACGCAGACACACAGACACACATAGACACACAAACACACCCACACCCACACCCACACACACACACACACACACCCACACACAGCCACACACAGCCACACACAGACACACACAGACACAGACACACAGACACAGCCACACACAGACACACACACACCCTTTGATGGAGAAGTGGGCGCGCTCGCGAAGGCTTGACGGCGGGGTGGCGAGGGTGCGGATGATGTTGAGGACGGACGTGCGGGGCAAGGTGTGACCCACGTGCGCCATGGACTGCAGCACAGCCATGCACTGCGGGAAGAGGTGCAGGCGCGCGAGGAGGTGAAGGACGGGCTCTGACACGGCGGGCACGGGGCATGTGCGGGCAATTGGGAACGCAAACGTGCGGGCAATGGCTGCCTGGCCTTGCGGGGTCTTGCCGTCAAGCATGGAGGTGAGCGAGTGGACACATGCCTCCGCTACGGCCTCTGGTGCTGCGCGGTGCGACACTGCGTGTTGATACAAATCATACACGTCCTGCGTCGTGCGCGCAAAGGGGAGGAGGGTGAGGTACACCTTTGGCTGGAAGGTGAGGTAGGGCAGGCGTTCCAGGTGCTTGAAGAGGCCGCGCAACTTGGCGAAGCGGTTGACGCGGTGGTCGTGTTCCAATACGCGCTGCAACCACGCGCACAGGGTGCGGCCACTGGGCATGGTCTTCCTGTCTGCCATCATGAGCAGGATGTGATGGGAGTGGTTGAAGTCGCCCATGTTTGCGGCTGCCAGTGCCGCGGACTGCAGTGCTTTGTTGGTTAAGCTGACATGCGCAGCCTCGGCTAGCTCCAGGCCTGCACCAATCGCATGAATGGGCCGTTGGTGAGGTCGGGCTTGGTGGTAGTGTGGATGCGATTCATTGTGATTGTGTCATATTATTGTGTGTGTGTGTGTGCGTGTGTGTGCGTGCGTGCGTGCGTGCGTGTGTGTAGGCGTGTGTGTGCGTGCGTGTAGGCGTGTGTGTGTGTGTGTGTGTGTGTGTGTGTGTGTGTGTGTGTGTGTGTGTGTGTGTGTGTGTGTGTGCGTGTGCGTACAGAAAATGTGCTTGGCTCACCCGATCACAACCACACACACCGACACACACACACGCACGCACACACACACACACATCAACAACAGCAAACGGGTGAAAAGCATGTGTGTGCGGTGTGTGTGTGTGTGTGACCTTTGAGGGCGTGTGTGTAGTCGTGGCTCGCCTCTGCTTGGGTGATGAGCGTGGAGTAGACGGCGGGCAACACGGTGAAGTGTGACATGATGTGCACTGCAGCAGCAAAGTCGCAGTTCTGGATACAGTCCTCCACCGTGTTGCTGACGCTTCTTCGCACGCAGGCCTCTCCTCGTTTATCTGAAGTTTGCTTCCACAAGTCCAATGCTTCTCGAATGGACACACGCCGCAGCGACGTGTCCTCTGTCTCTCCCACCACCTGAGCACAACGACATATGTGTGCATGTGTGTGCATGCGCATGTGTGTGAGTGTGTGTGCATGTGTGTGAGTGAGTGTCAGTATGAATGTACGTGTGTGTGTGTGAGTGTCAGTATGAATGTACGTGTGTGTGAGTGTAAATGTGAGCGAGTGTGTGTGTATGTGTGTGTGTGTGAGTGAGTGAGTGTCAGTATGAATGTACGTGTGTGGACCATCAAACACTCAACGCAAACGAAGATACACGCGCGCACATGTCTTTCGCTGTTGAAATACGAACGTTCAGATCGTCGTGTATGTTGATCTGGGCAGTCATACCATCAGCAACACCACCAGCAGCATCAGCACCAACGGCATCACTAGCATCACCAACGGCATCAGCATCAACGGCATCCCTAGCAGCATCAACGGCATCAACAGCGACAGCACTCGAAGTCGCACCACTCCTGCTGTGGCTGCTGTGGCTGCTGTGGCCGCTGTGGCTGCTGTGGCCGCTTCTACAACAGGCGGCCGCTGTGGATGCCCGGTGAGCACGCACAGTACTCCCCCATCGTTGGCGTTGTGCAAGTCTCAGCCACCGCACCGACATGCTTCATTGACTGGCTGGTCCAAGTTCACGACAACAAGAACAAGAAGCGGGGGGAAGTGAGCAAGCCACCAACCAGCGAAAGCAAGGAGCGAGTGCTTTGCTGTGAGCAAGGTCGTGTTTGGCGTGCACGAGGATGTGTGTGTTTTGGTGGTGTGGGAGCTTGGCTTGTGGGTAAAAATTTATGGTGTCGCAACAGAAAAGCGCAGTGCTGGCTGCCTGCTGCGATCTTGTTGGCTGCTCTCGCATCCATATGTCTATGTCATATCATCGCTCTCAGACAACAAGACAACAGACCTTCATGTCACATCACATCACACGACCCTCCCTCCCCCTCTCCCCTCTCCTCAAGCTCTCTTACTCACAGCACATACATCACCACCCCCGTACACCCATCCATGCACGCACGCGCACACACACACACACACATGCAATCAAAGCAGAGCAGAACATGTGTCTGTTATTCTTGTCATTGGGTTGGCGGAAGTGGCGGGCGGTGCTGGCCCTGTGTGGGGATGGAGGGTTGTGCACCAAAGTTGGGGGCATTCGCTGTGTAGATGGCGTTGTTGTTCCAGGAATCGCGCCGCCGTTGCTGGTTGCGGATCGACAGGCGCTTCTGCTGCTGGAGGATGACTTCGCTCTCCGAGGACGCCGTGCTGTAGTGTGGTCCACCATCCGTACTGGACTCCCCATCCGTGTGTGACCCGGCCACCTTTGTGTATGTTGGTGGGCACTCGATGGGCACAATGTTGGACGCGCGGTCGTAGTCGTGGGCCTGCGTGTCAAGCAGTGGCTGCATCGATGGTCTGCGCTGCGGTTGTCGTTCTTGTTGGTGTTGTCGTTCTTGCTGGTGTTTGTGCCCACGTTGTTGCTGTTGGTGTTGCTGGTGTTGCTGTTGCTGTTGGTGTTGATGTTGCTGATGTTGCTGCGCATCAGCGTGGTGCGGCTCGCCAATAATCTCCGCTCCCCCAAACGAGGTCACGCGCAGCCTCTCGCCCCTCGTCCCACCAGCACCACCGCGGCGGCCACCACCATCTTCGTCGTCACTGGACATGTCGGTGTAGCCATCCATGCTGAAACCGAGGACGTCACTCGAGTCTCCCATCAGCGGGACCATGGACGGTCGTCGCTGGCCTCTCCCGCGCCGTCCACCTGGATCGTTGCCGTTGTGACCGCCGCCGCCGCGTGTCTTGGAGAAGGCGGCGCCAGCGCCCATGCGCCACTTGCCGCGGCGCGTGGATATGCCGGCCCCACTGACGGGAGCACTGCTGCCCACGCCACTGCTGCTTGCCGCGAGCCTGGACTGTGCACCGCCGCTGCTGCCGCCATTGGGAGCACCGCTGCCACCGCCGTGGCTGCTGCCGCTGCCGCTGCCACCTTGCTGCCGCTCGCTCTCCTGCAAGAAGCGATCCGCAATTTCCAGCATGCGCTTGTTGTTGGGGCGGCGGTACTTGGAGCGGCGGCCCTGGACTTTGCTGGCCACCCACAAGATGAGGATGGCGACGAGGGCGAGTCCAACGGCGCCCAGCACGAGGTAGGTTTGGATCGGGTTGAGGGAGCCGATGTGGAAACCGCCGTCGTCGTTGGGGCCGCCGCCGCCGTCCACAGTGGTGCTGTTGGGCGATGACGTGGCGTTGACGGTCGTCAGAGGTTCGTCCGTGGTGGCCTCCGGGTAGCCGCTGCCAAAGTCGTCGTCGTTCAGTGGTGTGGGCGTGGTTGTGGGTGGCAGGGTGCCTGTGATGAGGTGGTGCCCGCTGGTGCACAGGCTGAGCGGGTCTGTGGGGTGGGGCACGCACAGGTCGATGGCGGCAAGCCCGGCTTCGAGCTTGATCTTCGCGTCCCTGTCAAGCACGGTGGCGACGAGGTTGATGCCGCCGACGGACGGCGCCAGTTCCAGGGCCAGGAGCTCGTCTGGGAAGATGACAAACTCCTCCAATGTGAGGACTTGCCAGGCGTTGAAAAGAAACCGGCGTGTGATGTTTGGTTCTCTCCCTCCAAATAGAGTGAAGAAGTTGGCGTCAGGGAAGCGGATCACTGAGGATGCGTTCTGCGCCATGCAGCTGGTCGGGCAAGCCACGACAGCAAGAAGCAGCAGAGCCGCTGCCGCCATTGCACCCGCTGCCATTGGTGCGTCATGCCCTTCACAATGCACACGACGCCGCCGATGCATTTGATGTCGATGACCATGACACTGATGCATGCAGCCGCTCATACCATCAGCGTCACCACCACCATCAAGGCAACAACGCCTGCTGCTCGTTGTCATGACAGGCAGGGATGTGAGTGAGTGCGTTTGTGTGTGTGTGTGTGTGTGTGTGTGTGTGTGTTGTGTGTGTTTGTGTGCGCGAGTGTTTGTGAGTGTATGAGAGAGTGTGTGAGAGTGTGTGAGTGTGTTTGGTATGAGAGTGTGTGTTTGTGTGAGTGTGTGACTGTGTTTGGTATGAGAGAGTGTGTGTTTGTGTGAGTGTGTGTGTCTGTGACGTGTGGACAGCAGCTCAGCTCAAGCAGCACGCCGGAAGGAAAGGGTCGGAGAATGAGATGCTCCTTCTTCTGCTGTGCTCCGCACACGATGGCTGGCTGGCGATGTGCTGGTATGCCAGCCACGACGAGTTTGCAAGCATCGGCATCAGCACCCACCTCCAAGCCCCGCCTCGCGCTCACGCCTCGTTTGTTTTGCGTGCTTTAGGTCGCATTCCTCACATCACGATATTCGGTGAGATACGCCACCACCATCGCGAATGCTGCTTTTGCCACCATTGTGGTAAATCGTAGATTGCCAAATACAGAAGTGGGAGTGTGTTTTGCCTGCAAGCAAGCAAGCAAGCAAGCGAGCAAGCAAGGGGCAACACAAAAAAAAAATAGAGGGAAGAAAAAAAGTGCAGCCACAAAACACACACAAGCGGCCGCGCGCCTCTTCAACCAAACCAGCCAACCAACAACAACCAAAACCTCACTGCCGCACCCGATCCTTGAGTGTGGTGTGTGCGTGCGTGGTGTGCACCGTGCTGTGGTGCTGCACCATTGTTTGTTTGTTTGTTTGTTGTGTGCGACACGCCACAGAGTGAGGGCTGCTGTCAAACGCACTCCAACAACCATCCGACCAAGGGTCCCGTCGCTTTGCTTGGGTTTCCTTTTTGTTGAAGGCTGACAGCAGCAGCTTTGCTTCGTTTTCCTGGCTAGACACTCCTTTTGCTTTTTCTGTGGTGTGCTTTGCTGTGCTGTGCTTTGTCCTTTGCGGAGCCAAGCATAGAAGCATGGCGCGTTCATCCCTTGCTGTACAGGCTGTGGCCGTTACAGCGTGCATCCTCTTCCTCTCCTGCATCCACCAAGGTGCTGAACGCGCGCGCGCGCGTGTGTGTTGGAAGTGCTTACCCTGCGCTTCACGTCTGCTCATGTCACCAGAACGACACACACACACTCTCACACACACACGCACACACTCTCTCACTCTCACACACATACACACACACACGCACACACACATACGCACTGCACACGCGCAGGGGCGCGAGCACAAGGTAGCGATGCGGTGGAGTTTGGCGACTTGGTCAACACGGTGGTGACCGGGGACGGCGGGCTCCGCAAATCAGGCACTGTTGCCAGCTGGTCCGCAGGTGCCGTCTCCGTCGACGCCATTCAGCCGCGCCAGGTGTCTGAGGAGCGCGTCGGCGTCTCCTTCACACCCGGTCAGGCCAACAACAATTTCATGGTGGGCCTTGCCACCAGCAACGCGCAGCCCGCCAACTTTGAGCTCATTGACTTTGCCGCGCACCTCACCAGCTTCGGCGACCTCTTTGTGTGGGAGTCGGGCGACCTGCTCGGCAGATACTCCACCGACAAGTACACCACGGCAGACTCGTTCCAGGTCCTTGTGGTCCCAAAAAGCGCGGGCTCCGACACGCTCGTCGTGCAGTACCGCATCAACGGAAATGCCGTCTACACCTCGCAGACCGCCGTGCCAGCGGACCCGCTCTACGTCCGTGTGGCATTGTACGAGCCAAACGCAGAGATCCTGGACATCCAGTTTGTGCCAAAGCAGATCTGGTGTGAGCCCGTCGTGTGCTTTAGCTCAAACCAGTGCATCGACGCTGGCACCTGCGTCAACGGTCAGTTCAACATCGTGAACTAGTACGAGACGAGTGTGTGTGTGTGCATGTGTGCATGTGTGCGTGTGCATGTGTGTGTATGTGTGTATGGGTGTGTACAATTGTGGCTGCACACCACACAAGCCATCACATGCATCATTGACACTCTCCTCTCCCATGGTGTTTGTTGTGGGTATCTTCTCTTCTTGTCCTCTACGATCCATAACATACACGATTGTTTGTGTTGTGTTGATTGTGTTCGCGGGCCCAATCCCACAATCAACAGGCGCGTGCCAGGCCACCGCGCTGGACGGCACTCCCTGCGACGATGGTGTTGCCAACACGCTCAATGACACCTGTGTTCAGGGCGTGTGCCAGGTGCGCGAGCAGCTGCGTTTCTTCGTTTTGCTTTTGATTTGCTTGCCATTTTCGCGCCGGTACATTTTAACGTACACAAACTCCGATACGCTGCTCCTCTCGACTCTTATTTCATGGATTTTGCTCCTCTGTGTTTTCTTTCTGTGCCATGATGACAGGGCGTTGACCCGTGTGAGGGCGTGACGTGCGACCCCGTTGATAGCTGCCACCAAGCTGGCGCCTGTGCCAACGGTGTTTGCTTCGTCGGTCCAAACGTGCCCAACCTCACCCCATGGTGTGTGTTGTGTGTGTGTGTTGTGTTGTGTGTTGTGTTGTGTTGTGTTGTGTGTTGTGTTGTGTTGTGTGTGTGTTGTGTTGTGTTGTGTTGTGTGTTGTGTTGTGTTGTGTTGCCTTGCATGCTCGCCTGCATTTGAAGTCGTTGTTTCGACGGTTCGTTGTGCCGGCTCCCTCACGCTTTTGACACGCACGCACGCGCATCTGCAGTGATGATGGCAATGCCCAGACGATTGGTGACGTGTGCGTCGACGGCGTGTGTGTTGGCGCCACGACAACAACGACAACCACCACAACAACCACCACCACAACGACGACCATTGATCCTTGTGCGTTTGCGTGTGTGCGTTTGTGCGTATGTGCATGTGTGAGAGTGCGTTTGCGTGTGTGCGTGCGTGCGTGCGTGCATATGTTTGCCCCCTCCCTCCTTCCCCCCTCTCTCGCTCTCCCTGTCTCTCCCTGTCTCTCTCGCTCTCTCTCTCCCCCTCCCCCTTCTCTCTCTCTCTCTGTCTCTCTCTCTACCCCCTTTCTCACGTTGTCACCACGTCTGCGACCTTGTCATGCACTCTCACACACATACATGCATACGTGTGCGCGTGTATCGTAGGCGAGGGCGTGTTTTGCCCGCTTCCAGACCAGTGTCACCTCCAAGGCACCTGCTCCGGTGGCCAGTGCTTCGCTGGGCAAGCCGTTGAAAACGGCACGCCCTGTGATGGTGCGTGTATTTGTGTGTGTGCATGTTGATGCATGTTTCCATATCTATGTGTCTTGTGTACATGTGTGTGAGTGATTGCGTTTCGGTCAACTCCCTTTTGTTGCCTCATGTTCCACGTCGTCGTCTGTATCATTGTGCAGATGGCAACGCCAACACCGACAACGATGTCTGCACGGACGGCGTGTGCCGGTACGTACCCGCTGCTCCCCGCTGTCCTGTGTGTGTGTGCGTGCGTGCGCGCGCGTGTGCGTGTGTATGGCGCGTGCGCGTGCGTGTGCGTGTACAACGTGTGTGGCGCGTATGACCTGTGCATTTCGTGTCACGGCCTGTGCACGTGTTCGTGTCACGGATTAGCGTTTTCTTGCTGCCACATTCCTCAGCCCACTGACGCGTCGTTATCCAATTGCCGTAACTCTGCTCTGTTCTGCGCAGTGGCGTTGACCCGTGTGAGGGTGTTGTGTGCGAGCCGCTCGCGCAGTGCTTTGAGGCCGGCGTGTGCGTTGATGGCACCTGCACCAACCCACTCACCCCGGATGGCGTCCCTTGCGATAACGGCAATCCAAACGACTTTAACGACAGGTTCGTGTGCGTGCGTGCGTGCGTGTGTGTGTGTGTGTGTGTGTGTGTGTGTGTGTGTGTGTGTGTGTGTGTGTGTGTGTGTGTGTGTGTGTGTGTTTGCATCAACTTTTTAAGTGATGTTTGTACGTTCTTCCTTATCGTCCCTTCGACAACGCTGAACCCAACAGGTGCATCCAAGGCGCATGCATCGGCGACGACCCGTGCTTTGGGGTCACGTGCATGCCCCTGAGCCAGTGCCACGTTGCAGGCGAATGCTTCAACGGCACGTGTTCAAACCCCGTCAACACCGGCGCCTCCTGGTGAGTCGTCGTCCATGTTTGAGGTCATTGTGTGCCTGTTACTTTGTAAACTGCGCTCACTGTCTCATGGCGTTCGCCTTGACATTTTGCGAATCCCGCCTCCCTCACACACACACACACACACACACACACACACACACACATCACATCGCACGTGTGCAGCGATGATGGCAACGACGCCACCGTGGAGGATACGTGCAATGCGGAGGGCGTATGTGTTGGCGTTGACCTGTGCGAGGGTGTAGAATGCGTTGCCGCTTCACAGTGCCACGTTGCCGGCACGTGCACACTCGGCGTGTGCAGCACCCCGACCAAGGCCGACGGGACGTCCTGTGATGACGGCAACGCCAACACGGTGCAGGATGCGTGCATGAACGGCGTTTGCGTCGGCACAGACCTGTGCGCGGATGTGACATGCACCCCGCTCTCCCAATGCCACCTGCCCGGCACGTGCAACCCGCGCACGGGCGAGTGCAGCGTTGTGCAGCGCGCAGACGGGTCTTCGTGTGACGACGGCAACCCAGCCACCGTCAACGACGAATGCTTTGACGGCCTGTGCGCCGGCTTGAACCTGTGCGCAAACGTGGTGTGCGAGCCCCTGAGCGAATGCCACACGGCTGGCACGTGCAACCCAGCGACCGGCGTCTGCAGCAACCCGCTTCGCAACAACGGCTCGCCATGCACGGACACGGATGGCGACACGTGCACCGCTGCCACGTGTGTTGCTGGCAACTGCACGCAATCAACGCCTGCACCCAACGGCCGCACCTGTGATGACGGTTCCGACTTCACCACGAGTGATCAGTGTGTGGATGGCGTCTGTCGCGGAATTGACCTGTGCCAGTCCATCACATGCGAACCCCTCGACCAATGCCACGTC